TTATTTGTTGAGCTGTTAAGTATGAGCGTGTATGCCAGTATAGGGATATGCATGCTACACCTATATGCAATATTTATTTATATATGCATATATATATATATATCTTCAACGTAGATCGTTAGGGAATGGAAAGTGCAAACTTTAGGAATTGAAGAACTTTAAAGGTACGAATTGGGGAGTACGGGGATAATGTGTGAAAAGGTGAACATTTGTGGGATATTACCGTTGAAATAAAATGTAAATTAATTAAAACTTATACAAAACACAAGTAGATATGCTACGTCTATAAAAAAAATTAAAAAAAAAAAATAAATAAATAAAGAGAAAATAATTATTTATTTTTATATACAAAAACTTACTGAGAAAAACATTTTAATTTGATACGACAACTCAGCATGGTGTTATACAGTGTTTCATTTTTTTACGCACAGAGACGAGCGGAGGTGGATTGAAATTTCCAAAACTTTTTTATGCTGGAGAGAACATCATTAATCCAATAAACACCCATACACTTCTTTTTAATGCATATAGAATTGAAAATCGCTTTAGGCATAGTTGTTTGTCGGTCCGTCTGTCTACTTGTTGAAATCTTAAAATTTGGCGTAAAATACAAAACGCACTCGCCATTTCTTATGGATAACTTTCTTTAGATGAATACCTGTATGATGGGTAACATCACAGCTCAAAAGGCATTTCTTTGTATTGGAGGTTTGGGAGGTTTGCGCCTATTAAATAAACCATTATCGGGGGATCTGCTTATAACTATTCCCTTGGAACACTAAAATTGGTACAAAATCAAAACAACTGTAACCAGAACACACGTTGTTGTTTTCCATGACTTGTGATCGATCACAACCCCCGAATGTATCCCTAAAAGGGAGTAAGAATTCAACGTACCCTAAGCAAGCACATAAAAACTAAGAGTTCTATGATTTGGGATAATGTCGGTTGAACGATTGGTAGCATTTCTCCATAGAATCCCATGATAACCTTCGAATTCGCGATGAATCGTTATTAACTAAGCCATACGATCAGTTAATAACGATTTTTACTTTGGTCAATGAACCAATAATATGCATGTGAAATTTCAATCGCCCATCTCTGTTTTCGACAATCATCGGAGGGAAAAATGGGCATATCTAAATCGATCCAAAATCCCAAATCGATCCTAATAATATGATATATATATTTATCCGCCTAATTAGCCGAGTAGGCAAGAAACGCGATAACCAAATAAATGTTCGGGGGTTCAAGTCCCAAGAGCGGTATAATTTGTGAAGGCATAGCACTTATCGACCACAGCTACCGCCTCCCCATTTCTTTCTATTTCCTTTCTTCTTTCTGACAATCAGCGGGTAACACGGATGGCGCGCATTCACTGATTAATGGTTTATATTAAAAAAGGTGTATATATATATATATACTTGAAAGAATATCTTATCTATGGTCTAGTGGCTTACTCTTCATACTCTTATGGCTCTGGCGTAATGCAATTGCGCTTATATTCCTAGGTCTGGAAGATTAATATTTATTTATTTATTTACTATTTATTGATTAAAGCCTAGGAATGTAAGCGCGACCTTACTGTGCTAACAGACTTAGAAAAAGCAGATTCATGTGTATAAAATCAAAGACGTTTATTAGGATACTTTACATTGTTCGACATTTTCTAAACAAGACTTTCCCCTATATATATATATTAAGCTGCTTAAGTAACAAATCATTTTTGCACTAAACTCTTCAATATTTTGATTAATGAAATATTTTTTTTTTTAAATAAGTAAGAAGTAAGTAGTTCGTCTTAAACAATATATAATTTCTATGTTTATTATAGTTTATTTATGTTTTTTTTTTTTAAATTTTACTTCACGTTTATTATCTACCATACCCAACACTAAATAATAATGGGAAAATCTGATAATGATGTAGTAGTTGGTAGGGAAGCAAAATACAAAAGAAAAAAAAAAAGAAAACAAAAAAAGAAACAAATTGAAACTATAATGATATATTATTTCAGTGTAATGTTTGTTCATTATACAGGTGTTTCAATTATTATAGCACATAAGTTTGTATATTGTATGTTTACTATATAGTCGCCCACATGCCTAGGAAAAGATTTCTCATTACTACGCATCTTGATGCAAGTGATGCTAACTACCTGTCATGTATGTTGAATATGTTATACACGAATATGAAAAATCAGCATTTGCCTTAAGGTAAATGTTGAACACTCGGCACCCCTAAGAATCTCAATTACTTATTCCATTGCACTCAATTTATTATTATACATGTACACCATCGAATAAATGCACAACATAGAAAAACATATATATATATAATAATTTTTTCATTCTTCAATTAATAATATATATAAGAAATTACTTTTTTTTTTTCTTTTCTTTTTCTTTCTTTTGCCTTTTAATTAAAGCGAAGTGTTTGCGAAAGGCTCGCATTTAATTCCCAAGAATAACTGATGTATGCTTGAGCTGTAAGCATTAGATGGTTTACATAAGTTGCGAAGAATTTACTTCACATTTTATAGCTAGAGCAGGAGTCGACTTAAATCGAAACTTTCTCATTTTTTCCTATATTCTCAATGCAATGCAATGCAATGCAATGCAATGCCACTGTTTCAGTAGAAATTGAAAATAATTACTTTAAAACTGACATGCAAGACGATTAGTTGCGGTCATTGTGCTTCTTGCTTTTTTTTTTTCTTTCTACCCCCATAAAATATATATATATATGTGTATAGATTATTTCTATGTATATATATATATATATATATATATATATATATATATATATATATATCGATTATTGTATTTGAAAAATATCTGTAGACTAAAGGAAATCATAATATTAAGCTGCTCTTGAGTGGTTACACTTGAACGCAAACGAAACGCACGGAAAATCTTGAATAAAAGAACTTTAAAACAAACAAATTTAAAAAGTGGTTTTTGAAAGTTTTTTTTCTTCCTCTTAACGTAAAGAAGTTTCTTACAACAACAATAACTACTTAAATTGTAAGAAAGAAAAAAAATGAATATTTTTAAAAGTAACCAAAAAAAGTATACAATAAAACAGTTGCGATGTGACTAGTGTAACATATGTTAATCCCTTTCACTGCTTTGGCTGAGTGTGGCTCGAAATCGCTTTTCTCACACTAATTCTTAACTCTTCCATTATATTTTGTATTACTGATCATACTTACACATTTTACATATTTCAAGGCAGATTTTTATTGAGATCACCTTTTAAGTCTTTTTTCAATTAAAAAGTTAGTTAAAGGCAAAAAAGATTTTACAAAGGTGATAAGACTAAGTAGTCTAAAAATACTCGTTCTTTGGATACCAAAAGGTTTTCGAGTGCTAGTATTTGAAATCTTTACTCTATCTGCTAGGAAGCCGTGTCACTCTTCGTGTCTTACATTATGATGAAAAGTAGTAATCCTTTCCCAGTAATTAAAACAGCCAACAAATCGTGTAGAAATTTTTATACCCACCCCCGTAAGACGGGAATGTACTCAATTTGTTCTTTCTTATAATGTATGGAACACCTAAAACCAAGCTTCAGATACCCTATAAAATATATGTATTCTTGAACAATATGAAATTTTGAGTTGATTTAGCAATGTCTGTCCGTCTGTGTGGTGTGTATTGTTGGCACTCTGCTGATAGCAAAAATGAGGATATCGTCTTCAAATTTGGTAGAAACATTCGAAATTTCTGTGCGCAGATTGGTATTGAAAATGGAACAAATTGTCCAGACCAGAAGGGCGCAGCGGAGCGTAAGCTGAACGCAACTCAGTTTTTTTTTAACAAAAATTTTTGGGCTTGTGAAGATGCATACTTTACTGACTTGGAAATTTTTGCGTTCATAAGGTTATTAAGCACAGACGGACATGATTAAAATCTTACGTTGATCATATATTTTCTATCGCCTCTCCGATGTGCACATTTAAGCGTTAGAAGGATAAATCTTGTTTACCTCAGACTTCCGTTTCAAATATGAAAACTTAGGTGCAAGTTAGTAATAAGTTCCGAAAGAAGAAAGAATAAGAGAAAACCTACTTAAGTTCACCTTGGTAGACATGTAAAGATATTCGTTGTTCTTTTCTTCTTCTCTCGGCTTCTTCTACTGAAAGTTTTCCTATAGGCGAAGGATTGCTAAGCATTCTCAGAAATAGCAATCTCATGCTACCGTCGCTTTTACAGCCGCTTTTTAATTTGAGCGTCTTGTAGATCAATGCATTTTTCAAAAAAGTTTGGTTATATTAATTTGTATGCAGGGTTGCATTTGTTTTAAAATAGAAGATGATATGTTATTTTTATCAATTTATAGCACAAAAAAAAAAGATTTTGGCGACTGCGTTCACTTAGACCGCACTCCAGCTCTAAAGACGCTTACAAAATGACTTAGCCGATTTTGAACTTTAAATGCTTTCGATGATCATTCGTCCTTGACAATGATTCTATTTATGATTCATTGAATAGTAAATAATAGAAAACACCTTAAAACTCTCGATGTTACAATGTGTGTTGAGCGACAAACCCGAAAAAGCTTAAGGAAGCTAAAATCCGAAATCCATGACCCTGTCTCAGTAGATTTTCATGTGTCCGTTAAACAATTTGAACCGTAAAAAATCTGCTGCACCCACTCCTTTAAAAAATTGTTATGGAATTTGGAAAAATTGAAAAACATTGACAAATTGCTTTTAAAAATAATAGGGCATAACCTTTGGCAATCTTTCAATCTTTCATTGAGACTTTTTAACAAAATGCAATGGAGGTCTCTCTATATATTTTCAGATGCTTAATAATGACGATAAGATATGGCAACTCATATGTCTATAGTTACTTGCCTTTGTTTTTTGTTTGGAAAGAAACGTTCGCTATTATTGTTATATTTTTATTTGTTGGATTTTTGTTTAAGCAAAAAAAAAAAAAAAAAAACAAAGGTAAATAAATAAAACAAATATAATTTCCGTGCAAAAAATTATGGCTTTAAGTCTGGGTGTTTTGACGCAAGCCGATTTAAATGAGGCAATGAAATTGGAAAAGCGGAGACAATTTGAGGCAGAACGTAGGAAACGTATCTTCAATGCTAAGCAAAGACTTTACGGGCTTGACTTGGACGCGTTGGAGAAACAAATATCGGAAAAAGCGAAGCAACGTCGCATTGAAGTAGAATGCGAGAAACGTTATGAGCACCAGACGCAAGTAATGCAAGATGCAATAAAGGCTAAAGAGCTCGAACTAGGGAAACATAAGCATGCCGTAGAGAGTGATTTGAATTATTATCGCTGCCGATTTCAACGTAAAGATCAACGTCGCGAATTCGATTTAAACGATCCGAATTGGATTAAGAAATCGCAACCGGTACGTATAGCGGATGATGATATTAATTTGGGCATTTCAAGTGCCCAAGTTTTTCCGGGCGAAGATTTGGGTTTTAAAGAACGTAAACAAAGGCAGCGCGAACAGCAGAGAGCTTGGCTTGATCAGCAAGTTATAGAAAGAAAACAGGCCGAAGAATGCCGCCTAAAGGCTGATAAGATTCTTCAAGAGTCTATACAATCGCGTGATAAACGTTTGGAAGATATGGCCAACTCGAACCGCCGTATCCGTACTGAAATTGTAGACTCAATACGTCACTACAATAGCGAAATGGCAAAACGGAAAAGCGAAGAACGCGCCCAAAAGAAAAAAGAGAATAACGAAGATGACATGGCTGAAATTTATAACATGCTGACCAGTGATATGCTAACCGAAAATCCCGATGTGGCACAATCGAAAACAAATCCAAAAAAGAAAATCGCTTATATGTTCCGGGGTATGACTCCTGAAGAATTAAAAAAATTCCGCAAAGAACAACGTCAACAAGTGCTTGAACGTGAGTCCCAAAAGAGAGATGAACAACTGATGGACAAACAATGGGAACAATACGCTTTGAATATGGATCGCGAACTAATGTTAAAACAATTGGATATGAAGCGTAAAAAACAAGCCGAATTGCAAGAAGTTATTGAATATAATTCCATTTTGGCTAAAGAGCAAAAACTTCAAAAGGAATACAACAAAAACGTGATGAATATCAATCATGTTTCAAAGGAGTTCTACGAACAATTTAACAAAACTACGCGCTGAGAACATGAAAAAACGATAGCGAAGATTCACTAAAACTATCATTTGCTATACTTTTGTTCAAGAAAGATCGAAAATATTGACCACATATGGTAAGTAAATATTTCGTATTTTTCTCTCTGAACAAAAGGTATTGCAAATGCATAGGATAAGTGAGTGATGTGTTAGCCGAAGAATTCTGACAAAACTTGTTCGGAAATGTGTATAATTTTGTTTTGTTATGTAAATCATGTTTTCTCTATAATGTAATAAAATCAAAATTAATAATGTTAATAACTCGCCCTTTTTGTTCCTTTTGCTCTCGCTCCGTCCAACTTTTTTCGATAGTTAATCTAAGATCACCACTCCGTCCTCTTTATATGTTAGCCTTGTTAAAATTTGCTTAAGCAAGATGAACACTTGCAAGCAAACCTCTCAGGTCTATTTTAAAAGAAAACAATTAAGAACATTATAGTCGGACAAGGCCGGACATTCGATATCGAACATCACTTTGTCTTATTCATGCTCATGCGCAAAACGGCAACTGACGTGTTTAATTTTTATTTGAAACGACTATATTTTTACCGTGACTTATTGAGAATTGGGCCTTTTTCCATAGAACAATTCGGTTTTCGAGGGTCGGCTATATGGTAGGGGGCTGAAAAAATTACCTAACGCCATGGAAGTGTTTCACATCAACTTAGAATGCCGAAATGCTATTACTCAGCGACTTTTGCCGTAAAATTCTAAAAATTATTATTATTTTTCATATAACGAGCCATTGAAAGGGAAATTGTTCTTAAATGCACTCGTCCTTGGCCCAATATACGTCAATGTGCCAAACCAATCACCAAAACAATTCATGATCTCAAAAACAATGAACACAAAAATACATAGGCAAACATCAGATTGATGGACGGATAGACATCGTATGTACGGATGGTTAATAAAAAGTGATTCTATTTCAAGTCATTCAAAAAAACCAAACTGTTTTTTGCTGTGAGAAGTTTGTATAAATTTTATTATTATTGGTATTAGTCTCGACTAGCAACTCAATGATCGTGGGTTCAAATCTCAGAGTAGAGTTTTTAGTAAAATCGAAGGCCTTAGATGCTAGTGCTTTAAGACTTTAGTCTTAGAATTTATTCTCTGGCTAAATTTATAATAATAATAATATTTACTTGATTTAAGTGATTTGCATATCATTCCAAATATTGATCGGATGTCCAATTGACGGGCTACCGAATCAAGAGGATATATTGCAAGTAGTTTTCTTTTCTTCCATCTTTTTCTCTCTTCTGTTGTACTACTAGGTAAGTGTATAGATGGACTTGAGAGCTTGGTAATAGGCGCACTTTACCGATCCCCTTTTCACGGTCATAGGAAAATCTACAAGATGTGATACGTAATTCGCTCATGCAAGGTTATGTGGAAAAGCTAAGCGAAAAAAAAATTATGCTGCAACCTAACTCTGACCAGTAATCACAAATGTCGCAGACGCTGACGCTCTCTGTGCTCGTAACAGTATACAGCCATTCGCAGAATAGGAGACATCTCCTGAGTGATTGTGTCATATATTAAAAAAAAAAAATGTTTTTTTTTTTTTGCTTATACTTAATCATCGCTAGCATTACTGGCGGGCCACCCTTTTGTTTTAAAATAACGCAATTACTTGCCTCTCATTCAATTATGAAAAACTTTGTAAGCATCAAGCAGAAGCAGATGGATTTCATCAACATTTTTCCATTCCCGTATACTACAAAGGTATTATAAATTGCTCTTATGAAACGTACTACATACAGTACTACATACTCAATTTACATAATGTTTGTGTGAAAATATAATTTGTTCGTATCATGTTCGAATTGTAAGCATAGCGCATGGATAGATGGAAAGGTAGATATGAATAAATCAACATTGACAAATAAACGACTAAAGCATTCCGCATGTTATCCACATACCCTATATATAGGGGCATATTTATAAAGCACTACAACAACAAACGGTGATCATTAATAACTACTGACCGTTCACTTTCCCATACCTATGCGGCATGTATCGCAATCAAGAAAGAAAAGGAAGCCAAAATAATTTTTGCAATTATAGCTATGCATGACAATCACTTCCATCGAATAGTATTAACAAAGAAGAGGTAAATATCCAAAAAAAAAAAAAAAAAAAATTGATTAATTTTTCCGCGGCCACGAAATAGGAACCCCTCCTACTTAACGGAACACATAGTAAAACATATTTGCGCTGCAACTATTTGTCAATTAAACATGACGTAGAAAATTGAAAGAAGAAATTTCTGTCAGATTTCCGTAAAAATGAAGGTAAACGTCATTTCGACGTCGTTACCGGTGCAATGCAATGCAATGCATTAGACCAACATTTCGTTAAAATATTCTCTATAACAACAATAGAGTGCTTTGAATGAGGAAATCTCACAGTATTTGAGTCTGACTTTTACTCGTTTGTCAGTGATGTCATTTAGCAAACTGCAATAATAATTATCTCATATCATACCTTGTTCGTTCAATAACAAGTGCAAGTTCCGTTTCCGTTGCTTGTTATTGTTTTCGTTGTATGAAAACTTTGGTCTGCCAAAGGATATGCTTTCATGTTTATTAAATAGTCGCTACACACTTTTTTTTTTTTTTTTTGTACATACATCTGCATAAGGGGGATATTAAACCATTTCACTTGTAAAACTTTCAACCAATCATACATATATAGAGATGTAAAGCCAAACATGATTCTGATACATAACAATAACAATAAATTTGCAGGCTAATGTTTGTTCCTTGTTGCATTGTTGTTATTATTATGTTGCCGTTGCTTTTGCCGTTG